TTTCTAAGCTCCAGAAGATTTATGAGGCAGCTTTGCCCAGAGCACGTGCAGGGGATTTTGCTGAAGCGCTGTTTGTGGAGTGAGCTGCACAAGGCTGACTTTCACACCTGTGCCTGTGAAATTGGTTATATGCATATAGAATAGAAAATATATAACATAAAATTAAAAATATACATATAAAATGGTGTAGAAAAAGCATTCTTTAAAAAAGTGGAGTGTCAGTGACAGCCCACAAAATCAGAGGACATCTGGCTTGGAAAGCTCAGTGTTGGGCAAGGTGACACCGTCCACTTGACTGAGGCAAGCTTAGAGAGGAGCGTTTGTGGCCATCAGGTCCTGGGGTGAAGGGCAGGGTTGTGATTTCCTGCTGAGTTGTGCCTTTGCAGAAAGCAGTTCCAGAGTAGCTGGATCACCATAGGAGTGGGAAGGTGACTTTTTTTGGAAATTAGCTCACTGATCTCAGAGGTGATGGCCTGGTTGGCTGTTTTGACTCTGTGCATTTTGCTCAAGGACACTCCGAGAGTACAGGTGCAAGCTGGAGTTGCACACTGCTTGGATTCTGCTTGGCTCTTGAAAGGTGGAGAGTCATGCTGACACAGCATCTTTTTGTCTGCACCTCCTACAACAGAAGACTCAGAGGTGTCTAATAAGGTTCTTTTCAATCAGTGAGAGAAAAACCTTGGATCTTCTGGTGTCTGCTGCAGAAACAGAGTGTAAGAAGTAGGTGTGATGTCACCTTTTTTGGTTGTCCTAGAAACAAGTTAAGCTGTTATTCAGGAGAAATGCACTGGGCTGTGCAGGCAGGGTAGAGGAAAGAACACTCACTTTTGGATTGGAATAAATTGTTGCTTGAATTCTTTGTTAAAATCAAGACAGAATGCACTTGTGTGTGGACAAAATAATGCCAGGGTACAGATGCACAGGACTAGACTGGATCCAGCTGAGAAAATAAATATTGCAAGCTGGAACTATAGAAAAGCCTTAAGATTTACACCCATCCCTTCATTGCAAGGAATAAGGCAGAAATATTAGTTTGGGCCTTGACACTGTCTAAATATGTGATGATTTGTGGAGCAGAGAGAGGTGTAACCATGGCCAAGTTGTTTAGTCTAGAAATAAATTTTCAATGCCAAATTTGAGCCAAAATTTGCTTAAAAAAACCCCTGAAAACAAACATGGCTGTTGTAGGTATATGTGATAGGAGAGGGTGTGGGATATAAGCACATTATCACACAGCTGTTCTAGCTCTGTGCAATCCCTTCTTTTCTTGAAATTTCTTGACTTGCATCCCACAAACCTTGAAACCAAAATAATGGAAAATCTGTTGGTCACTAGTAGGTCCTTCACAGTAAAACATCCTTGTAATACCTAAACTGTTGTTGGGGGTCTGCTGAATCCGTGAAAAAGTACAAATTACAAATTACATACATAAAATAATTGGGCAATAAATACACTAATTGGGTAGCTGTAAATATGCTAATTGATCACTGATGTCAATGGTTAGGGGTGGGTAGCTGGGAATGACCCCATCCCAGTAAAAGCAGCGTGTAAAAAGTGAATCTCCTTGCTTAGCCAGTGACTCAGAACAATCTGAGGTAAAAGAAAAGCTTCCAGAAAGGTTTGCAATTATTTTTCTGGGTGATATGTTAATGAATGCATCGGGCTGATTGCTCAGGCAAGAATACCCAGTAATTAGCAGTTATGTCTGTGCTATGAGTCTTGAGAGGCAGATAACCACTTTGAAGATCTGTCTGCAGTTCAGCCTGCTGGTGGCAAATGATTCAGGGAGATCTTGGGGATCGTTTGGAACTGGCTCAGCAATGCTGCAAGGGTTGAGGAGAGATCTCAGGGTGTAACTCAGAGATAGAGAGGAGGCTGCTGTCCTGGCTAAAAGGGGGTGAGCTGAAGTTACTGGGGCCCATTTACCTGTTTGCTGGACTGATGAGATGGGGTCCCTGCCATCAGATCATAAAAGTCAGTTGTACTTGTGTATTTCCTACCAGAATTAGGAGAGGACGAAGGTTCAGGAGTAAGTGAAGTCACAGCACAAGTGTTTTTAAAATGTCACACCTGCAGTGCTAACATTTCCTCTTTTTCCACCAGCTTCTGTGCCTGTTTGCATTGTGTCTTCCTGTCAAGATACTGCAGAACCAGAGAGAGAGAGAGAGCACAGCCTTTCCATGCTGAGCAAACTTGCTTCATACCTGATGCTTTGTAAAAAGCACTTAGTGTGAGAGCAGCTGGTTTGTGAGATCAAGAGACTCTATCAGTACTCAAAGGAAAAAATCTTGGATGTGAAGGGCATGTTAGCTGTTAAAAACCTGATGGAAATGCTGGGTTTTTTTTAAATAAAAAAATCTTTCTAAAATTGAGATTACCAGAACAAGGAATGGGAATAAACAATCATTTGGGTGTGAAATTTCCTATTGTAAGGCATTTACTGAAAAGCCACTGGAGAAGTGTTACAAGGGGATTTTGCTGCTAGTCAGATTATTCTCCCTATTTAGGTGTGAACATGGTCCATCTGTTCATGAGACTTTGAGTAGTAAAATTTCAGTCTGTGCAGGAATACTGTGTTTTGACTTTACAGGGAGCTCAGGATTGTTCTATGGGATTGGTTCTGGAGAACAGATCTGTTGTAAACACACGGAGTTAAGCTGCAGGACTTTGATTTTTTTGCAGGAGAGGTTTCCTAGAGTTGTCTGGTGAAAACCATGCCTCAGAGGGCATCATCTAATTGTTCACAGCAGTGAACAATTCCAGTCTCCTAATCTATGGGAGAAGTGCAAAGTGTGATATTTTCACACTATAAATTATCCAAACTAATAAATCACTAGTTCAAGTTGTGAACAGAGCTTTGCAAGAAACTGTGAAAAGCAAACAGCAGGAAGAGAGTGATCTATAAAATGATGGGAATAGGAAATCTGGCAGGGTCAAAAGCTTTTTAGAGGCTTGGTCTTTGAGGGGAAAGTCAAATTCACTGCTGTTCATATGGAAGACTGAGGAATGGCTGAGTTTGGTGGGTGTTTGTTGCTCAGGGAAATAATCTGTGATGGGGAGATGCAGGATCAGGTCATTGTGCATGGTTTAATTGAATACAGGAGTCCTTTCTCAAGAGAGAAGGGGAAGGAAAAAACACTGATTGTAGCCATGGGAAGGGTCATATCTGTCTCTGCTCTGGGAAAACTGCCGGAGGAACATGGCCAAAGCACCAGGTCTTTTTGGGAAACATCAGCTGAGATTTTGGTATTGTAAAGCCGATCAGTGGCAGCACCAGTGAGGCTCCTTGACAGCAGTGGTTTGTCAGCAGAGACAGAGCTCCCTTCTTTTTGCAAAGTGTAGTAATAAAGATTGCATTGCTTGATCTGAGTGCCTTTGCTGTTACAGGGAGAACAGCCCACAGCTCCTCTTCCTTCTTGAGAAAAGGCTCTACCTGCTGTGTTGATTGATTGAAGCTCACGGGAGACAGAGGAAGATTTAACACTCACTTGAGGGCTTCTCTTCATAAGTTCAACGAGATAGATAGCCTAAAAACACATTTCAAAGTTGAGATTTGCAGAGGGAGAGCACAAAACCAGGAAACCCCAGCATTCTTGGGATGGCAACAGTGTTGTGACAGTATAAAAGAATTGCTTTAATTAAAAGTCTCTGAAGACAGGAAATCCTTCTTTCTGAGCACAGCCCAAAGAAAGGGTGTTCTGCTGCTACTCCCAGCACTCAGAGGTGCAGTGGCTGATGCCAAATTACAGAGGTTTCTCCTGGACCATGGAGGTGCTGTAGTGGTTATTGAGTCTCTGGGGACTGAACAAATATCTGCAGGCACTGTACATCCAGCACCAGGGTTATATTCCCTCCTCACTCCCTCCAAAAAAAGTCATCACTGTGCATTTAAAGATGTTTTGGGACCATGCCACTGGATGCAAAGGCACCATTCTCCAAGGGAATCCTGTCCCCTTGCTTTTCAGGTGGAAAAAACTAAAAACTTTTTGAAAATCCCATATTCAAAAAAAAATAGTGATTTTATCATCCTTAGGAATATCCCTACTACTTTTTGTAACTTCCAGCAGGCAAGCCTCCATTATCTATTTCTATTATGTCTATGTTTTTCTAAGACAAAATTTCTACTGTAACACTTGCAGGAAAATTTTGGAGTAATGAGGTGCGGAACTGCCATAATAGTTTTCTACTGTGATAGAAGAAAATACAATTGTGTATTTTACAGCCTTTATAAACCATGTTAAAATACCAGCTAAAATATATGCATCAGAATGTACTTTTTTCAGTTAAAAACAATCTGAGAAATTATAAATTAACTTATTAATTAAAATTACATTCAAAAAGGGAAGACTTTCAACTCAAGAAAGACGCTTCTATAGAAATGGAAATTTTTGTTATTGAGGGTATTAAACTTCAAAGATATGCAAGAACTGAGATTACCTGGAAAAGTACTTCTAATTCTTCTTCAAAAAAAAATTTAAAAGGGGAGGGAGGAGGATGAAAGTTTTGCTTATAATCATCCTCCTTTTACTCCTAGTTACCTGTCTGTGTGTGGCAAAGGAACAAGAAAAGGAAAAAAAAACTTCTCAAAAGACAAATGAAGAGCATAGAAAGCTGTAATTACTTAGACACCTTAACTCAGACATGTTCAGCAATAGAAACAAAACTAATTTTCTCACTAATTGCATTTCAGTTATAGCTATTCAAACAGTTTATTCTGAAAGATGAAGAATTCCAGCTATAAAATGCACCATTTGATATACATTATGCAAATTAAGTCTGTCATATTTTTGGTTCCAACCAGGATTGAAGTACAGAGCAATCCTGGTTGGAGCGATCGCGGTGCTTGGCAGTGCGGGGCTGTTTGTCCTGTCACTGCTGGGGTGTCCTGAGCACCAGCAGTGCTGTGGGGCACGGAGAGCTGGCTTGGCAGCTGCCTTAGGGCAGGAATCCCGCTGTGAGGTGTTCCCCTCAAACGGAGTAACCCTTGTTGTGTGTCGCAGGGATCATGTACCGCAAGTCCTGCGCCTCCTCGGCCGCGTGCCTGATCGCCTCCGCCGGCTACCAGTCCTTCTGCTCCCCTGGCAAGGTCAACTCCGTCTGCATCAGCTGCTGCAACACCCCGCTCTGCAATGGACCCCGCCCCAAGAAGAGGGGCAACTCTGCTGCAGTGCCCAGGGCACACATCATAACCACTCTTCTGCTCCTTAAATTGGCTCTGTTGCTTTCGTACTGCTAAACTTCAAGCAAGCTGGTTTGTTTGGTTTGGTTTCTTTTCCCTGATGCAATTTGTTCCGCATCCTTCTTTCTTCAAAGACGCTGCAATTATTTTCTGTTTGTTTCCAAATCCCTGTCAAGAGCAAGGGAAGTTCAGTGGTTGTGTGGAGAAGAGGGGCTGATATTTTTGTCAGCTAATGAGTTCATTTAGCAGATTGAATTTCCAGTGTGCACTTAAAAATCCCAGCAGGACACAGAACTCCTGTTCCTTTGCATAACTGGAAACAAACCCATCCGCGTTATTCCTTTTGCCGTGTTGTCCCTTTCCTGGGTCATTTCAATTTCCATCTTTTTAAGCTTATTGCTAAGCAGTAACTTTGCCTTATGAGGTCACACTTGGTGTTCACAGAGGCCATTCTGAGCGGGCTCTGAGCCGCTCTCGAGGGGCTCCAGGCTGGGATCTGAGGGTGCAGAACCCATCTCCTGTGGGCTGCAGCCGGGCGTGGGCTCCTTCTGGAAGGTGCTCAGGAAAACTTTGGCGTTGCCCTTGGCGGAAGAGCCGCGCCTGGAGGACATGAAGAGCAGCGGGCGCAGGGAGCGGCTGCTGCGCGCCGCGGAGCTCTGGTTGGCCCTGAGGAACCGCTCCCTGTTGGCGTGCTGCAGCGTGAGGCGGCAGCACAGCACCTGCAGGAACACGCTGCGGAACTGCTGCGAGGAGATGTTGTACAGCAGCGGGTTCACCACCGAGCTGAGGTAGAAGAAGATGTCGGCGATGGGAAGGAGGGTCATGTAGGCTCGGAAGTAGGGGTAGGTCCAGTCCTGCTTGGGTTTGGCGGCTGCCATGATCCTCCGGACCTGGTTGGGCATCCAGCAAACCGCCAGAGTGGCGATGATCAGTCCTGCGGGCACAGAGAGCAAGAGAGAGGTCTGCATACATGGGGGAAGACACATGAAACGCCATCAGTTCTGCACTTACTTGTTAGGAAATGGTACCAATTTTTCAGTGTTTTGCTTGACAGCTTTTTCTGCCAGTAGCATTTTTTGTTTGTTGTTTTTAATAACTGTTACAAGGTCATTGCAGCACATGCTCAGACAAAACACTGCATAGTGCTTGGATGGTGTTTCTTTGTACCTGTTGTCATTTATTGGTTTTCAGAGAGTTCTTTCTCTGATCATCTGTGTCTTTGGAAAGAATATGGTTTTAGTTTGGTTTCTGCTCTTACATTTCTTCTGTCTTCCCCTTTACTTTGAAAAACAAACACAATAAATAGAACCTATAGCCATATTAGATCAGGCAATACCCAGAAGAGATCAGATTCTTGTTTGTACTTTACAAAAAAGAAAATGTATGCATAATAATATATTTCGTGTTATTTTTGGTAGATTTCCTCTTACAGAAGCTATTTTTAAGTAAAATGTGTATGGATCTTTTTATGGTAATTAAGATATGTTGGGCTTTCTTAAAAATCAAATTCCAGTGGAATTAAATGATGAATGTAAATGAGAAAAACCCAAGCCTAGTCATGAAAGTGTAAGCAGTTTCAGATTGTAAATTACGCTTTAAAATGTGGTATCTGACCATTTTGTATTTATATGTAAATATAAATACATGTTGCTGCATCACTAATGGCATTAAAAAGGGGTGGCTGAAGTGCTGGGTGTCTCAAAATTCAATGGATTGAGTTCTGCAGGGTGCAGCAGCCCTGCAGGAACGTGCCAGTGATGGAGCAGGAGCAAGGCACCTCATGGCATCCTCTGTTTCTCTGTGTGCCAGCACTGGAAATCTGCCACCCTGTGACATCCCAGGTACACAGAGTCACTCCTGCTGCTACTGCTCCCCCAGCAGTGCTGGCTCACAGGGCAGCCTCCAGTCTGCTGTCCCCTCTTTGCCTCTCTCTGTGCAGGAGCTGTGCCTCACACCAGCTCTGGAGGGAGCAGAAGCTGCAGCCTGGCTGCTCCCCTGGGCAGGGAGTGTCCTGGTGGGGCAGCTCTCATCCTGTGTGTCACCTTGTTAACCTCATCCAGTGCCTGACCCTGCTCCCAACAGCAGCACAGAAGATGTTTAATTCTTACTGCTCTAGGCTGAGTCAGATTTCCCCCACTGGACAGGTCACTGTAGCAGTGCCACTCAGAAATAGCAGGGTTTTGAAGCCAGGAAAAGGATACTTCACTAGCAGGAAGATGTGAATGTAGCAGGGAATAGAAAAAAGATTTTTCATAACTTTGAAACTGCCAGAGCTCCATCAGGCTCTGTCCAAGTTCTCGCCACCAGTACCCACAAGCAAAGAAAAGGTATGAAATGCCTTTAAAAAAAAAATTAATTTTTTTCATAAAAGGGATAATTACTTTAACGAATTTATTATCTCCCTGAATAAGATACCAAATAAAAGCTGTCCTTTGGATCCCTTGCTTCTGTAATCACTTACTGGGGTAGTGATTGGGATGGGGAAGTAGCAGATCTTAAACAGTACTGGCTTAAGAGCCCTGGAGAGCTGTTGTTGACAGGCCAGCAGTAAATCCATCACCAAGACCTTTGCCATTTTCAGTTCTTTACCTACCAGAAGTCTCCTCAGCCACTGTTCCTTTGCTCTCAGTCCCACAGTCCCTCCCTGCCCCTGCTTTTCCCCTGCCACCTTGCCTCACTGTTCAGTGCCTGCTGTGCCTCTGTGATCTGAATTTTGTATTAATCCTGCAAATGTTTGTGGCCTTCAGTGCTCTTTTCCTGCTGTCAGCTTAACAACTATAGGCTGTCAGTCTTGGCATGGGCCAAAAGAAAATAAGGCCCCTTCAGCAGTGACTTGTGATGAATCTTATAAAAAGGCAGTGGAAGGATTTTATTGCTTCACCGGGGCTTTTTGTCTGGTGCATCTTAAACACAAAAGTTCACAAGCCCAAATCTGTGGAATTCTCATCAAATTTCACCAGAAGATCTCTTTCAAGTGGGAAGAAAATAAGCTGTATTGTACAATTTTATTTTATTTTTTTGTTCTTGGTTAGAAACAGGATACTTCATCATGCTGATTAATAGTTTCCTAAATTATGAGTGCTGCTGTGAAAAACTATGAGCAAACAATGCATGCAATCATTTTTAAAGCCCAGCTACATTGCTCTGTCTGATTTTTTTTTTGCTTCTATCTGAATTCTTTGGCATTGACCTTTCTTTTTAATTCAAACTGCCAACTGCTTAAGATACCTCCTTATATTCTTCAGCCCCTTTTGTTCTGGAGAAGTGAGTGTCTGGTAGTGTGTACAGCCAGTGAAAAATGAGCTGCTTGTGCCCTTGTGCAGCACAGGCAGGTTTGTCTCTCAGGGGGCAGGAGGGGATGGCTGCAAAACTGTTGTTTCCCAGGGATGACTAATTGTTCATTTTCACACTCTGAGAAAATGTCTGTTGACTCAAAGGAGATGCACCATGCAAATAAACATGCTGACAGACTCACAATATTTTTCCCAGCTTTCACACTTGACATGGCAGTGTGGAGTAAAGGGAAGCTCAGCAGAAGAGCAGCTTGGGTGTGACCGTGTTCGCAGGGGTCGCAGGATGAGGGAAGAGATGAGGATCTGACTCCATGTTTCAGAAGGCTTGATTTAATATTTTATGATAAACATTATATTAAAACTATACTAAAAGAATAGAAGAAACGATTTCATCAGAAGGTTGGCTAAGAATAGAATAGGAAGAATGAATAACAAAGGTTTGTGGCTCGGACAGAGAGTCCAAGCCCGCTGACTGTGATTGGCCATTAATTCCAAACATCCAAATGACACCAATCACAGATGCACCTGTTGCACTCCACAGCAGCATATAATCATTGTTTACATTTTGTTCCTGAGGCCTCTTAGCTTCTCAGGAGGAAAAATTCTAAGGAAAGGATTTTTCAGAAAATATCATGGCTACACTCAGGAAGCCTCTGAGCTCAGCACTGCTGCTGTCAGGCTGAGCCTGGATTTGGGCTCAGGAGTTTGTGCTGTGCTGCTGTGCCAGAGGTGCTTAAACAGCCTCAACCAGCTGGAATGGAAACCACTCTGAATCTTGCACCAGCACTGATGTATTTTTCCTGTGAGCTTGCTGCCTGATGGGAATAATTCTTCACATTTCAGCTCATGTCCATCTTTGCCTTCCACTCCTTCTCATTAAAAGAGAAAGATCAGTGGCTCTGGTTTTTCCACCCCATTTTCCTGACCACTGCATGGAAGTGACACAGAGCCGAGCTTTATCTTCCATGGAATAACAATGTTTATAACAAAGTAATGCTGTGGTTTTGCAACCTCCATCACTGGTGCTTGAAATTTCCAACTCACATTTGAATTATTCCAGTTCAGTCATCAGAAGGGCATTAGAAAAATGCCAGCAGAAGCCAGGAGCCCTTGTGTTACCTTCTGTAAGTAAGAACATCTCAACCTTTAAATAAGAGCAGGAGCTTAGAATTCATTTAACATTGATTTAGTTATTTCAAGGTAACAAACAAAACAAAAGACACGAAAAGGTCCTTCACTAAAACTACATTATAAAGTTAAACCATAAACAAGCCACAAAAGAGTTTACTCCAAAATAGGAATTACCACATCCTACTACTGTTTGAATCTGAAAAGAACCCAGCCCAAGCCTCTTTACAAACAAAGCATACAAATTTAACAACACTTTAAATTTGGTAATCATTATTCTAACTTCCCAAAAGTCAATCTCACAGTATTAATTCTTAATATGTGACAAAGGATCATTTATGTAATAAAATAAACCTAGCATTTAAGTGCCACTAGTATAAATATTCATTGCTGGCAGAGAATAGGAGTTTGGCAGTCATCTATCCCTTAGCAATACTTTTTTATTACTCAGAAAATTCCTCTGGGCCATAGGGGACTGAATTAAATTCATTATGAACTTTATTGGGAAGGATTTTAAATATGTGCAGATGTCTGGAAGAGAGGGCTTCCTTCTCCACACTTCCCCTTGTTCTTCTGTTGAATAGAATTTTGTCCTTTTTTTTCTATACCTAAGCACTTAAATCTGTCTCCTTTTAAAACCCAGTGCTTTGCGTCTATCCTGGCTGCTGCCAGCCATCCCCAAAAGCCTGAAATTGTCAACAAGATGATAATTGCCACCAGACAGTGCCAAGAACAGGTTTCCTCTGGCTGCCACAGCCCCTTAGCTGAGGCTGTTGGTGACCTCAGGTACAGAGTCCTTTGCCTGTGCACTTCACCCTGACCATCCTGGTGGCTCAAGGTCTGCCAGGCTCTGCTGATGCTCCATCCCAGCCAGCCCAAAGCACAGCCAGACCTCAAACTTTGCCCCTCTGGGGTCTGATTAATGACACAAAGGCGGGCTCCCAGCATCTGCTTGTAAACTGACATTTAAATGGCAATTGCCAGTGGAATACAAGCATATGGTTACTGAGCTGTGAGTCAAGTGCAGGCAGGAATGCAATTGGTTCAGAGGAAAAGCTTTTTTTAGTGTTGGTTTCACTTTTGTGTGCTTGGCCTGTCTATACTCAAAGGCACAACGTGACACTAATGCTTAGTCACAAAGTCTTCAAACAGTGCATCAGAAGTGCCAAGAAGTCCCAACAGAGGAAGAAAGACCATCTTTAATTATTAAGTTTACCATCATAAAGCAATGCTAATTACAAGGAAAGCACTTGGTCCCTACTGGGTTCTGCTACAGGCTTTGAAAACATAGCAAAGATACCTCCCCACTAATCAGGGTCTCAATGGTCTCAATATCAGCCACTCAGGAGAAGGGAGAAAAAGCAAAGACAGAAGTACTAATTAAATGGTACTTTCAGGAGGTTTTAGGTTGTATTTTTGTTACGTTTATTATTTTAACCATGAGAAAAATCTTGGGTTTTGTTAGAAATAAAGTCATAAGGCACTAGCTTATTGTCTTCCTAGCTTCCAGGAA